CAAGAATTGATTAAAAAGTTTGTACAAGTTAAAATCAAGTATGTTCCCAAAGTAGAGAACTCCTGAGCGGACGCTTTGGCAAGGCTCGCCATAGCTTCTTAGGAGAACCTGGATAGATTAATCCCAATTGAACACCTAGCTGAGCCATCTATAAACTATGAAGATGAGGAGGTACTACTGTATTGGCCCCACCGAGTTGGATGGACCCAATCAGAGAGTACCTTCAGAATAAAACCTTGCCAAAAGATCCCAAAAAGGCTGCGAAGCTAAGAGCTAGGTCATCCCGATTCACAATTATACAAGGAAACTTACATAAACGAGGCTTTTCAGCACCTCTCCTTAAATGTGTAGGAGACGAGGATGCTAATTACATACTCAGGGAAATCAACGAAGGGATTTGAAAAAACTATATCGAAGCTGGAGCCTTGGCAAATNAACGAGGCTTTTCAGCACCTCTCCTTAAATGTGTAGGAGACGAGGATGCTAATTACTTACTCAGGGAAATCAACGAAGGGATTTGAAAAAACTATATCGAAGCTGGAGCCTTGGCAAATAAGGTACTAAGGCAAAGGTACTTCTAGCCTACTATACTTAGAGACACAACATATGTAATCAAGAGATGTAAAGTCTTCCAGATACATGCAAACCTCCCTCATTGTCCACCAAAGCTCCTAACCTTGGTGGTAAGCGCTTGGCCTTTCCAACAATAGGGTCTAGACATACTTGGGCCACTTTCCACTAGGATTGGATAGTGCAAGTTCACCATTTTTGGAGTGGACTACTTCACCAAATAGGTAGAGGTGGAGCCCTTGGCAACAATCACAGAATGAAAAGTTCAATACTTCACTTGAAAATCTATAATCTGTAGGTTTTGAATACCCAAGGCAATCGTCTCCGACAATGGAAAGCAATTTGACAATCTCAAGTTCAAAAAATTTTGTGCAGAGCTAGGAATAAAAAATTACTTTTTAACTCCAGCTTTTCCTCAATCTAATGTTCAAGCCGAAGTGACAATCTGAATCGTAAAAGTATCTCTGAAGACCAAGCTAGCAGCTCTGAAAGGAAAATGGATAGAACACATCCCAGAAGTATTGTGGGCTTACAGAACCACAACCAGATTAGCAACTCAAGAAACACCATTCGCTTTAGCATTTGGAACAGAACTAGTGGCACCTGTAGAGGTTGACATTCCATCCCCCAGGGCTGAGTTCTCTAAGTCCGAGCATAATGACTAGTCATTTATGCTAAATCTCAACCTCCTTGACGTAAAGCGAGACGAGGCTTTGCATTGCATTGTGAGTTCCCAAAGAAAACAACAAATTACTACAACAAGAGGGTTAGACACAGAAGCTTCAAAATCAAACATTTGGTCCTCAAAAAACTCTTTCTTGCGAGAAAGGACCTTACTCATGGGAAGTTAGGTCCCAACTAGGAAGGTCCTTACATCATTTTGAAGATAATCAGACCTGGGAATTACGAGTTACAAATGGAGTTGGGAAAAATCTTGCTTCACTCTTGGAATGCTAAACATCTGAAGAAATTTTTTCAGTAAATTCTTGTAAGAATGCCTCCATCAATAAAGTAAGAAGTTACAGCTCAGTCATCATTTTAATACTAGCTCAAAATGAGCTCTTCAGTTCATAAATAAACGATGAGCTCATCAGCTTATAAACAAATGATGAGCTCAATAGCTCATAAACAAACGATGAGCTCTTCAGCTCATAAACAAATGATTAGCTCTCTAGCTCATACATAGAAGATGAGCTCTTTAACTCATGAAAAGAAGATGAGCTCTTCAACACATAAACAAACAATGAGCTCGTCAGCTCATAAACAAATAATGAGCTCTTCTGATCAAACAATGAGCTCCTCAGCTTATAAACAAAATATGAGCTCTTTAGCTCATAAATAAACGATGAGCTCCTCAGCTCATATGCTCGTAAACATGGCAACGAACAGAGTAACATTACAATAAGAAAAAAGAGGTTCTTATTTATCAACATGATGGAATACAAGAAGAAGAAAAAAAAGTCCTAAGCCCCTCTATGCCTCCTCTTCAACTTAGATATCTCCTCTTCCAAATAAGCATTCACAACCTATAGACGAGCATTCTCCTCCTTCATCTCATCATATTCCTTCTCCACTTTTGTCAGTAACTCTGAAAGCTTCAGCTCAGTAGTAGAAAATAAAATACCAACAAAAGAGGAACCAAACGACTAAGATTAGGAACCACTCCTCCTACATNTTCCTTCTCCACTTTTGTCAGTAACTCTGAAAGCTTCAGCTCAGTAGTAGAAAATAAAATACCAACAAAAGAGGAACCAGACGACTAAGATGAGGAACCACTCCTCCTACGTTTCCTCGAATATGTGGCAACGTATTCGTCCTCATCTGATTCAATAGAAGAAGAATCAGGAGAGAGAGGGTATGAGGTAAATTCTAGAGCAGCAGTAGCAACACTGAACAAAAAAGAATTATAAGGGTAACCAGCAAAGAGAAAGGAACAGGCTCAACATGAGCCACTGACTAACCCTCACTAGCTTTGTTGGGGTCAAACTGGGATTACCTACACAAGAGAAACACAATAAGAATCAATCACTATGATTACAACAGAACTAATTCAATGCCTCTACCTCTATAAGAAAAGCGCACCCAAGAGCAAGGGACCTAAGAACGTGTGCAATGTTGTTTAGCAGGCCTCCAAGAATCCCCAGAGGCAAAGAAAGAGCATTGAACCCATCCTTCAGGAGAATTGGGAACATCAAGGACCAGTAGNATGCCTCTACCTCTATAAGAAAAGCGCACCCAAGAGCAAGGGACCTAAGAACGTGTGCAATGTTGTTTAGCAGGCCTCCAAGAATCCCCAGAGGCAAAGAAAGAGCATTGAACCCATCCTTTAGGAGAGTTGGGAACATCAAGGACCAGTGGNGTGCAATGTTGTTTAGCAGGCCTCCAAGAATCCCCAGAGGCAAAGAAAGAGCATTGAACCCATCCTTCAGGAGAATTGGGAACATCAAGGACCAGTAGGGGTCAAAGTGGCACCTCCATCTGAAGCAACTGAAGCAAGGGAGCTTATCCACATCAAGTTCATAAAATTAGAGGAATTCGACAATAGTAGGGAAATCACTATTGCCTTGTAGACGCCAAAAAGAAGAAGAAGATAATCATAGCACCCTGCCCATTAGGAGAGAGGCGCGAAGGGCATAACCCAAAGAAAGCATGAATCTACCCAATTGAAGGATGGATGGGCAGACAAAGTCCCATCTCAAAAGAACCTTCAAAGAAGCAAAGTTCTCGTTAGGGGAGAAAGTTGCGAGGCTCATCAAGGGTTGGGACTTGAAGGAGTAAGTCAGCATGTCGAAGATATCGTCTCTTGATTTCTTCTAATTCTATAATGGTAACCACAAAAGGAACCAAGAAGTAAGAGTGTCACTTCATATCGAACGTGGCTTGAGCTCGTTGATTAAACAAGGAAGTAAGAGAGGAAACTTTGGAAATCAGAAGATTGACAGAGAACACAGAGAAAAAGAAATTCAGGAAGATCGAGAAACGTGATCCCAAGATTTGCAGGCAAGAAGAAATTCCAAGATTTGTAGATAACAAAGAAGTCCCATGTTTTAGAGAAACATTAGGAGAAGTTTTAAGCTTCCAAAGTTATGACGGTGAAGACGTTTTAAGAAAGTAGGTNATTCCAAGATTTGTAGATAACAAAGAAGTCCCATGTTTTAGAGAAACATTAGGAGACGTTTTAAGCTTCCAAAGTTATGACGGTGAAGACGTTTTAAGAAAGTAGGTGGGCACGAATAACGATTAGATTATCACTTTCCATATCAAAAGAGCAGCTTAGTTTTGATAAGATCGGCTGATCCAAAAGCATCTTAAGTTTACCCAAGGATGTGTCCTTCAACCCCACATAAGCAGAGCTCAGGTAAAGCAGCAGAAATAAATAAGGGGAAGAGCTCCCACACGAAAAGTGGGTTGAGTTCTCTAGTTTATGGAGGTGAGCTCTCCAAAAATAAACCCATGGGTTTGCCTATGCTGAGCTTGCCAAGGATACTTCAACTTACAGGCTCCTCAGCCACTCAACTCTATAATTCCTCTACATTTCAGCCATTCAGCTCATCCAAACTTAGCAAATTCACTTCAAGAAGAACTAAGTTCTCCTCGAAGTAGGGGGGAAAAGGGGAATAGGTAGAATGGAAGAACATAAAAAGTAGAAAAAGAAAAGTGCAAGAAATATTTACATTTCTTAAAAGAAGTAGAATACAAGGTACAAGGTAAAAAAAAAACAACAATAACAAGTAGAAATTCCTTAAAATTCCTAAGTCTTTGTAGCAAGAGCAGAAGAAGAACTAGCAGCTNAGAAATATTTACATTTCTTAAAAGAAGTAGAATACAAGGTACAAGGTAAAAAAAAACAACAATAACAAGTAGAAATTCCTTAAAATTCCTAAGTCTTTGTAGCAAGAGCAGAAGAAGAACTAGCAGTTCAACAAAAGTAAGAGGAGCTCTAGATGGTTCAGATCGGTTAAAGAGAGAGGAGCCTTAGGAAGAACAGGAGCAAGAGACTCAACTCCTGCTGGTGGCAAGGTCAACCCAGGAGCTTGAATCCCAAGGTCAACAAGGTCATCACCAGAAACAAGAACACCAACAGAAGCATTAGAGGGAATGACAGCAGGAGCTATGACCTCTACTTCCTTCTTAATGCTTGACTTTTCCTTCTCTTTATCGAAGGGAAGTTTAAATTCGAAGTCCTGGTCTGAATATGCCACCACAACCTAGTTCTGAAAAGCAAGGTACCCAATGGCCCAATTGGTGGTAGCCTCGTCCTTTAGTTCAGCCTCATTTCGAGATGCTACCTCTTAGCCTCAATATCCTTCAGCAAAGTGGCGTTGACTTCAGCCAACATGTCATACTCTTTTTTCATGGTCTAAAGGGATTGGAGGGCCTCTATGATTTCCTTGCGAGCTTCGATCAAGTTGTCTTCCTTCACTGAAAGCTCATCCTTTTCTTTTCTNTTGGAGGGCCTCTATGATTTCCTTGCGAGCTTCGATCAAGTTGTCTTCCTTCACTGAAAGCTCATCCTTTTCTTTTCTTGCTTCGGCCACTAGACCCTTGTTGGTAGAATTCAATTGCTTAACCTGTGCTTGGAGCTCAACATTAAGAAGTCTCAGCTCAGTAGCCTTGAGCCAGATAACTTTGTAGACTCCTCTAAAGCTTGGATCCTTTTCACCAGAGCACTTACATGGATAGCTAGCTAAAAACTAAGAGGAAAAAGAGGGAGGGGCATGAGAGTAAGTCAGGGTCAATAAAAAAACCCTCAAGGCAAGAACAAAGTTTAGAGATGACGAGGCTTACTGACACCGTTGCATACAAAGCCTTGGTAGCAGAAGTATGCAAAGGGATCGCTTAGACTGCATTAATGTCAGAATATGGGATAACTAAGGCACTGATCTTAGCGGCCAGACATGAGTCCTCAATGGGCAAACCCTTGCCCATCTCAAGCTTTTCTAGTAAACCCTCCACCCGTAGACAAAGACTCTTCCCAATAGATCAAGAAGAAGAAGACCTTTGTAGGAGAGGGGCCAGGGACACCAAAGCTCCAACAACCTCTTCTGATGACGGGGGAGGATGAGGCCCCAGCCTAATCAATAGATCCTGAAATTAGGGAAGCATGAACTTGTTGAGATGAAGAGGTCAAACTAGCCTCCAATGAAGCTGACGGAAGGGGGAAGGATCACTTGAGGAGGTGGAAGAGAAGGTGGAGGCACTTCTACCTCTCTACACCTTAGAAGAAGGTCTAAGTCTTGATTTTGCTCCAGCCTTGCGCTTAGCTTTGCCTTTCATCTCAACAATCTTAGCTTTCACTGCCTCTGCATCTGGAGCCATTGAGTTGGTACCTGGGAAAGCAAACGGGATCAGCTGACACGAAAAGTAAAAAAGAGAAGGAAAAGCCAAAGATAAAGAGGGAAAAATCTTACAAGTAGAATCCTCTGCACCATCAATAGAGATGGGAATTAGAGTCTCAACTCTCACCTAGGGAAGGCTGAACCCTAGCTTGATGAGCACAAAATGCNCGGAGTCTCAACTCTCACCTAGGGAAGGTTGAACCCTAGCTTGATGAGCACAAAATGCTTAATCAAGCTAGAATATCTCTCTGGTTCATAACCCACCAAGNTAGAGTCTCAACTCTCACCTAGGGAAGGCTGAACCCTAGCTTGATGAGCACAAAATGCTTAATCAAGCTAGAATATCTCTCTGGTTCATAACCCACCAAGCNGACACGAAAAGTAAAAAAGAGAAGGAAAAGCCAAAGATAAAGAGGGAAAAATCTTACAAGTAGAATCCTCTGCACCATCAATAGAGATGGGAATCGGAGTCTCAACTCTCACCTAGGGAAGGTTGAACCCTAGCTTGATGAGCACAAAATGCTTAATCAAGCTAGAATATCTCTCTGGTTCATAACCCACCAAGCCCAATAAAACTATCTTGTCCTTGGTACTAAGGTTGGGTAAGGAATAAGAAAATCAAGGTTAGTAGAATGAAACATTCTGGCTAAGTTAGGTCTGCCCAGGTAGAACTTACCCAGATTATCAGGGACAGATTGAGCCCGAGGCACATGAAATGTGTAAGCTACGTCTTGGGGGTTGAACTCCTGTCTTTCTCAATCACAAAGAAGAAAAGTTTTTTCCAACCCTTGTGGGAGCTTGGGAGGTCGGTTATAATAAGATTGGCCTTCACCCGTTTAGAAATATACAGGAAACCATTAGAAGGGATGAATTTAACATTAAAAAACTTCACGAGCAGAGGAATAGTGGGGATACCAAGTTCATTTTTCTTGAAGAAAACAAGAAAACCCACAATAACACCCCAAAAAATGTGAGAAAGTTGAGAAGGACAAATGTTGAAGTGCTGAATAACCCTCTTAAGAAAAGTATGTTTATGGAAATGAAGGTCGTTCTTGAGAGAAGCCACAAAGAAGCAAACCTTATCAGGAACCTTGGAGTTACACCTAGTATCCACATTTGGGCACCAATACTGCATACCCCGAAGAAATCCAAATTGAATAGAAAGGACACTCATGAAAGGAGGGGTGACCTCATTATGACCCACGAGGTCTGAAACCCGGGGGGCAACCTCTGCCTCCTCAGCACTACCAAAAATCCCGGCATCAGATACCTTGGCTTTCCCCTTTTGAAGTTTCTTAGACCTTGGAATGGGGGAAGATGTTGGAATTGGGATCTTAGCCTCTTCCACATAATCGATGAATCAACATTGGGAAAGTTAACTATCTCATCCCCTATGTCGCCTAAGTCATCCTTCTCCACCTCAGGAGATCTCTCACCCATGGCCAGTGAAATAGATGAAGTTGTAGCTTCCTAAGAAGTAGACATGATGGGGTTGGAAAAGGGAAGATGGAATGAAGTACAAAGAAAAGGAATGTTAGCAAAATAGTCCTTAAGGGCTAAAGGGTCAAGACACCAGTGACCGAAAAATAAAGTCCAGCCAATGGAGTAAGGATCTAAGAAGAGAAGGAGAGAGTACACAAAACAACCTCAATTTTTAAAATAATAGAAGCAAAAATTCCAAAAATTAAACAACCACCTTGAGTTCGAGGGTTCTAGAATGAAAAGAAGCAAAGGAGAATAGGAGAAAGAGCGTACCTATAAACACCACACTTTTATCTTTATATATGTATATAGGTTTATATAGCAAGTAATTATTTCTTTTGAAATATTAATATGGAGAAATTTGAGTAAATAGTTGTTAAAACTTAGTTTTAGCTTGTAAATATTTGAAATCGTTGTAATAGAACTTGTACTAACTAGGTTTGACGTACCAAGGTATGTGGTATAAGTTTGGGATGATGTTGTAAATATTAGATATGATGAATGGATTTTTATTTATTAATGGATTATATTATTTGCTCTCATAATGTGAATGATTTTAAATTTTAATGCCGTCCAAGGTAGTTTTTGGGGCGTTACAAATTTTGGTATTCGAGCTTAGGAATTAGGTCTTACATTGGAGTTGTAGGTTGTGTACTATCACTGGAGTATTAGGTTAGGGTGATGAAATTCTAGGTTTGAATTTGTTTGAAGTGATATGTTTATAAGATAAGTGGGATTGGTTGTTTAGTTAGGTTATGGATTGATTATTTGTTCGAATTCTTGGATTACCTAGCTTAAAGGTGTTGGCAAAAATTTTGAGATGGATATGCTAGTTTTATATCCTGTCGTTAGGGACTATTCTTGGAGATGGATGGTAATTTGGATTTTGGTTAGTAAATAGTGCTAAGCATGAATCTTTATGCAAGTCATACTATCTATATTGGAGAGGGGTATGAGATAGGATTAGTGACAAAAGAAATGCAAACTCAAGTTGGATAAGTATAGCAGAACCAATCAATCTAACAGACTACCTTTCACTAATTTGATCATAACTCTTTGTTACAAAGTCTAAATGGTGCACTGTCTTTTTTGTTAGAATCCTAACTTGTATATCCTTCCAATAATATAGGTCACCCATTCTACAAATACCTGAGCTAAATCAGTTTATTCATTGAATTTGATCAAAAATCTGTGCTCTGGTATTCCTTGGATAGCAAAATGTCGTGCCTTTTTTCTTAGACTCTGAAGGATTTAACCTTAAGAAAGCTTCCATCACTATTTAGGATTTGATTTGGGGACACTCCCATGTTGGTTTAAGTATTTTTATGGATAACAATATAAAATTTGACTATGATTTGGTACTTTGCCGACTTTAAGTATTTTATTCTACTATTAATCTTGCTTATATTTTTGGAAGTCAAGGAGATGTGATAACCCAATTTAGATGTGTGGAGGTAAGTTCAACTTAGATGTTTTTAAGATGGACTAAGTTTTGAATAATAAGGTTATGGAAATTGATGTGTGTTACTTAAAAGTCAAAGAAATTAAGGAATGAATGTAGTTTTGGTTTTATGATGGAAACCATGGGAGTGTTATGTTTTCCGCAATGTTGAGTACGATGTTATGAGAGATTGTATAATTCTCAAATATGATCAAGTGATGGAATATGACAAAGTTACATTGAATGAGAGCCTATTTTGGATTAACAATAGGAATTATGATTATGGTTCTTAAATGGATAGGAGTTTGTTTTCATAACCACAAACTTGAGGTTACCAATATTTTTTTAAAAATATTATGGAGAATATTAAATTTACTTTGAATGTTTAGAAGGGTCATGCACAGGATACTCATTGAGAGCGTTATACTTAGTTTACCTTATTTCCTTGAGGGCTTAGTTGACTACTCTTAAACTCTGTAAAGTATTAACAATCGAGAATCTCTTAGTTGAATGTTAAGTTAATAGTTGACTTGTATTGCACACCTTAATTAGAAATTGAGGTCAATTTTTGAAAGCGAACTTATAGGAGTTTCATTTGACTCTCGATATTGTTGGATTGAAGATTATAGAGGTTTAAAAGCTCGAGGTCAGATACAACAGACAATTATGGAAATAAGGAAGATATCCAAAGTTTGATATGAACTTCTATTATTCTATAGGATCTTTTAATGTTATTGAAGTTGTGTTGGAGGAATATGAAGTTCTTTTTCATGTCCCTTAGTACATTATTAAGATAGGTTTGATGAGTTATACTTGAGTATTGCTGGTATGAGTATTGAAGATTCTCACTTCATAGTTAGTGGTGATAATTGGAAAAATGTGATTTGAGGAATCAATGATGATACCTATGTAGATTGGCTTTGACATGGATGTAGAAACCTTATGTAATTTTTGAAAAAATGACTATGGATATCCTAGTAACTAGCAGATCGTTAGTGTACACATTTTAGAAGCTATAATTGGAGGATAATGTGGTTAGGTTTCAGTTGTACACTTTGGTGGAACTTGACATATCATATCAAAACTTTCAAACCTATGGGAATTCTTACCTTGTGGCCAGTTATGATTTGGGAAATTGGTCGATGTTAATTTATATCAGAGTGTGGAGCAAACCATGGGATTAGATTTAATACTAGTGGAATTAACCATTAGTTATGGTTACCGTGGTGAATGTATAGAGGATAAGCTTAAAGAGTGAGATTCAATTTCTTGAAAAACTTGGTGTATAGTTTAATGGTTATAGTTGTTGGGAATCTTGCGATGTCCACCGAACTACTGAAATTGATGAGTCCATAGGATGTGAAGTATTATTAGATTTTAAATATTGTGAGTTTCTCTAGTCTAGTGAGAAACAATGTCATTAAGAATGATACATCTATTTAAGGAATCGTTGTAGATCTTGTTGTAATGGCATTGCTAACTTTTGGATTATAACGTAATTTGGGTATAGGAATGTTGAGTAATCCCATTAATGAAATGGAATTTGGTTGTTGTGAAATGCTTATGGATAAGCTACATGTAAAAAAGC